CTGGGATCTGTTTTTAAAAAAGTAACGTAGTCTATCAAGAAAACTATCAAATACTTTTAAAAGCATTTTATTTAAAATCCAAATGTTTGCTCTATAATCGCACTCTTTAGGTCACCTAGTATTTTTGGTAAGTTCTCATAGATTTTAACTTTAGGATATCCCCATATTTTAGGATATCCCCATATTTTAGGATATCCGGTGAATAAGGAGACCATTCAGTTCTTCCGCCAGTGTAACTGATTGAATCAAATTAGCTTAAAACTGATATTTTTATTTGAATTAAAAAGTTTTTAAAAAGCACAAGTTGATAAACTGCTATGTTTATTTGTTAAAATACAACAGAAAGCATGTCGAAAAAATAAGTAGTTTAGCTATATAAATATATTAGTTTAGCTATATAAATATATTAGTTTAGCTATATAAATATATTAGTTTAGCTATATAAATATATTAGTTTAGCTATATAAATATATTAGTTTAGCTATAGGACTTCTTAATCGTAATTTTTATTTAATCCAACCTGTATGTACTTCTCGGAAATCCTGTTAGATCATTTAAAGAATTTATCCTTCATAAATAAAAGAGTGGCGGGACTTTGGGAGTGTCTTATTAAAAAAATGTCTCTCTATATTTTATGACAAAACACCCTTTTTTCTAGATTTTTCTTCTTATCCCTAGTTTACGTTAAAACAAATGAATCGATCGTGACATTTTTTTACGAAATACTTGATAAGTTAGCTTTTATAAGTAACTGTCAAATAAAAAAGAAAGTTTTTATTTTATTAATTTAGAGTTCGTTTGCTTTTAAGTTGTACGTTTTTCGTTTTTGAGTTGTTTTATTTTAATTACATTATTCTTATAGATTCAATCATCCAAGATTCGGAAAGATTAAGTGTATTCGTACAATATCTTTTGTTCAACCAGGAGATGAATTGTTTGTGGAGTATGGTTACGACCACCTAAAACTTGATACCGATGCACCTCTTTGGTATCAAAAGGCTTTAGTTGAGCATTTGAATAATAAAGATGAGAAAGTTTAATTTAAACGTTTTAAAGATTATCTTGTGATCTTAAATCTTGTCAATACTTTTCGTTAGATGTTCTAGATAGGATAAAAAAATAACTAAAAGTGAGAATATCATAAATAATCTTTAATTAATTAAGAAAAAACTCCTTAATTTAAATTTTACACCATACAACTGTAGCTTTGTTTGAAACTTTTTGATCTTTTTAATGTTTTTGATTTCTAAAGTAAAATAATTTTTGCGTTCAGCTTCAATACTTTCTGAGATACCTAATTTTTTTATATTTACCAATTGTAAAACGTATTTTAAGAAACAGTTACACCTAATGACTAACAATATTGAAGTTAAAACAAAAAACAGCTCTAATGTTAACTTAAGTATGGTTATCTAAAAAACCCTCTAACTACAGCACATCAGGCAATTCCCTCAACTCGATTCATCGAATTTGAGGCTTTTTTTTCATTTATCAGAGGATTAACATCGTTCTACCATTTATCTTATCTTCACCTCTTATCTTATCTTCACCTCTTATCTTATCTTCACCTCTTATCTTATCTTCACCTCTTATCTTATCTTCACCTCTTATCTTAGCTTCACCTCTTATCTTATCTTCACCTCTTATCTTAGCTTCACCTCTTATCTTATCTTCACCTCTTATCTTATCTTCACCTCTTATCTTATCTTCACCTCTTATCTTATCTTCACCTCTTATCTTATCTTCACCTCTTATCTTATCTTCACCTCTTATCTTATCTTCACCTCTTATCTTATCTTCACCTCTTATCTTATCTTCACCTCTTATCTTATCTTCACCTCTTATCTTAGCTTCAGACAGTTTGATAAATAAATAATTATATAAAAATGTATTTGATATATGTATTTGAAAAATGTGTTTGAACTAATTATGTCGATGTATTTCATTACAGAGGAAGGATGTCATGTCTTTTATTAAACAACTGTTTTACATGATTGGCATTATATATTTTTATGGATTAACAATTTATGTATTGTATTTATTGACATATATATTTCTCATTACAATGATAGAAAAGTGGAAACTATTAACATATTTATCTACAAATAATTCAATTTGCAATTTTAATCTTCTTGTGCTCAAGATAATAAAAAATTTATTTGTACGTGAATTAAACGTTGATTTTTTAAAAATATAAACCTTTGCAGCCAACAAGAGTTTTTTTTGAAAAATTAGCTAAAGTCATACCAATATTAAAAAGTGGGGATATTGAGAAGATTTGTAACAATTGTCCAATTTCACTCTTTTCTGTATCCTTTAAACTTTTAGAAGGAAATTATACAACAAAATTTATACTCATCTTACAGAAAACAATTTGTTATACAGCAATCAATATGGTTTTTTAAAAAAATAATTCTACTGAACAGGCAATTATTCAATTTACTAGAAATCGTTTGAAAATTCTCAGTATACTTTGGGGTCATCCTTAAATGATGTCAGTAAATAAAGGGGGGAGGGGGTACTGATTTTAAAAGTATTTACATCTACAATGCGGTATAGAAATGATGTATTTGCAATATACAATTTGGTATCTACAATGTGGTATAGAAACCTACATCTACAATGTGGTATAAAAGTGATATATTTGATATAAGTTTCCCAAAGACATTAAACAATTTAAAAAATTTATTAACGTTTTATAATTGTATTACCATTTGACTGCAAATCTAATTGTTTACAAATATCAACTATTTGTTTATAAAATTAACAACCGTTATTAGTTCCCTAGCGGATTATAAAACGTGCTTCAAAGCAAATACATAATTTATTTTGTCATTATTTCAAATACGTAACTCTAATTGCTCTCTAGCGGCTCGCAACAAATGATGCAATGCAAGTACATAAGATCATTATTGCAAATACGAAACGCTAATTGCTTAATCAATATTAATGAATATAATCAATTCATTCAATGAAAAGGCAATTAAGTTTAAGAGCAAGTAATTATCATTTTGGGCCAATACTCCAAAATAGTCAGCCCCCTCGTATATTCCTTTTGAATTTGACAAGTTATGCGGCCGTGGCGCAGTGGTTGGGCGCTTGCTTTATAAGCAGGAGATCCAGGTTTGAAACGATCTCTGGACATATTTTCGCGTCACGGTAAAGAAGAAGGCGTGAACTTCCTGGTTAAATGCACTTCCGCAGTGCTCTGTAGCAAGACCGTTAGGTCTTTTTGGGGGCACCTAAATAACAAAAAAAAAAAATTTGTAGAACCCACTAATGAGCGGTCTCTCATTAATAATCAACAAAGTCCATTAATTTCAGTTTGTCGACAATTAAAAGTAAATAAACAACAAGAATAGTGGCTGAAGATTGTATCAATTCTGAGACTGCAATTTTAAATTGTGATGGACTGAAGACTAAGAAGAGAAATAAATTCATTGCTAAAGAGGATGGTTTGAAAAAGAAAAGGAAGAAATCAGCTCATCTAACCAAAGAGCTAGCCAAGAAAAAGTATGATCAAGCTCAATAGAAGAAAACTAGAGAACTGAAAAAAGCTAGATTTGAGGAAATCTACTTGGAATATCTAGAAGTCAAAGAGAAATTGAAAATCAAAATAAAATCGACCGCCGTTAGAAGTAGCTTAACCTCTTCTTTTGATGTCAATTATTGATATTGCTGTCGATGGTTCGTCTGCTAATGAAAGATGTTGGTCAGAGGTTCTCCGAGTAATATAGATTATAAAATAAATCCCATTTTCTGTTAAGTAGTTCATTATATCCAAATATATCTATTTATTATTCAGAGCATTATAATCCTCGACGAATTGACATCCCAGATAATCATAATTGGATTCGCAATCAGCAAGAGCGACCTCTATACTTGTCTACTTCCAAAATATTATGGAACATCAGAAGGCAAAAGACATGTCAAAACAGTTCCTGTTAGGCTGATTAGAGCTCAAAATGAATCTCATTTAAAACAATATGATGTACACTTGTACAGTTCAACTATAAAATATGTTGAAGAAGTTTGTTCTATTTGGGGACCACATGAAGTGTGTTTCATTAGCCAAGACGACAAGGCCAGAGTGCCGATTTTAATCACAGCAGCCAAAAAACAGACGCCGCTGTTGATGCATCTGGAATACCGGGTAACTCTCCAGGACCACGATTGGGTCGTGGTTCTAAACACATGCATCTGTATACGCTGGTATTACTATCAAAAGAGATAGTTTCGGAAAAATAGACGCTGTTACTTGTTCTAGACCTACCTTCATTGCTATTCGATCATAAAAATAGGCATCCTCAACCGCTTTTGCTCATGGATTAGACTTTAAGCGGCTCTTGGATAAAAAACATTCCAGAGCAATTAGTAATAAGCAATTAGTAATAAGCGTTTGTGAAACCATATAAAATTTTAAAAAAGAAATTGTTTTATTGCAGTGATGGATTTTACTTTAGTGGGTATGTACTATTTAATTACATTAAATATTTTATTCAAAAGAGAATCAATTTTTATTAGAATATGGTTTGAAAAACTGCGTTAAAATTGTAAAATCTTTTTTTATTTTTAAGTTTTCAACTTATACAATTTTTTGTATCCAAGCTAATTTTTTAACAGTGTATATACTGTTAAAAAAGACGTATAAATTCAAAAGTACTAAGGTGTATAACGGTGTAAAATTTTTCACATCAATCCACATTTTTTAAAATTTTAAATATTTTCAGATCACATGCGCTCTTTTTCACAAATGGAATTATTTAAAGTATGGCGGAAACGTTTATTGGATTTTATTTTACAAAGATTTTGTGTTACTGATGTAACTAAAGATTCAGAGAAGTCTTTGCAGTTAAAAATTTCATGTTTGGTATCAAAATTCGCAACAAAATGGTCTGCAGCACGTATAATGGTGGACCGTTTTTTAAATAAAGTAAATGTTGGTTAGAGTTTCTATTACAGAAACACGTGCCGAATTTAAACTACAAGCCATACTTGATAAAACTACTGAACGTCTAATTAAAGTCCAGTGTAAAGTTCTTAAAAACTATACTTTTACTACGCCATTCATATTAATTAGCAAATGGGGGTGTGATGGGAGCTCTGGTCACAGCACTTATAAACAAAGGTTTACAAACTCTGATGCTACTGATTAGTTTCTGTTTTTATTTTTATTTGTTTCGTTGAGACTGAGCGACGGCCAAAATATTATTTGGCAAAATCCGCGACCTTCATCCACTCTTTTTTGCCGACCAATTAAGTTAATTTTTTCAAAAGAAAAAATTGTCTATTAATTATTATATTTACTACAACAGAAACTAACCAAGTTTTAAAAGTAGTATCTCAACTTATTCCGACATCTATAAGATTTGGCAAATCTCAAGTTGACCAAATTGTTAAACATGATTTAATACTCTCAATAATAGATAGAAAAGTTTGCAATGCCTTGACTGACACAAATTCTCAACAAAAATGTTATATATATAGTGCAACTCCCAAAAACTAAAAGACTTAGTTGTTAAAAAAGAACATTATGGTTCTGGTCTGTTTACTTTGCATGCGTGGATTCGCTTTTTTGAGTGCATGTTACACATTAGCTATCATTTAGATATAAAAAAGTGGCAAGCAAGAAGCGATGAAGATAAATCTATTGTCCAATAACGTTCAGAAGATATCAAAGAAAAATTTAAAAACTATATGGGTCTTATTGTAGACAAACCAAAACCTGGCTTTGGGAATACAAATAACGGGAACACAGCTTGCAGGTTTTTTATGAAGCCAGAATTAAGTGGTGAGATTACGCGTTTTTTTATGAAGCCAGAATTAAGTGGTGAGATTACGTCAATCTCATTAAAAATTTCAGTATTTTATTAAGAACACTTTCCTAAGGCTATGATATTAATTATTATGAATTTGAAAAACTTTTTACTGAAACCAAAACTCTTTATCTTAATCTATACCCTTGGAACTATATGCCCTCACGTATTTCCAAAAATATGAATTTGCTCAACATGCTTTTGGTTACATCAGATCCTGTCGTTAATTCATACAGAGAATTTTCAAGTAAGAAAACGAGTAAATTACCGTTAGATATTTTGAATTTAATTCCCAGAAAAAAAAGTTTTATAGAATTTCTATAAACTTTTGAAACATATGGCCTACAGAAATTCTACAGAATTCTATAGAACTTCTTTAGAATCTCTGTTAATTTCTATAGAAACTCTTTAGAACTTTTTTTTTTACTTTTTTTTCTTTAGAAAAACAAGTTTTATAGAAATTTTTATAAAAATTAAAAGACATTTTATAGAAATTCTATAAAATTTATATAGAATTTCTACTGGCCATATGTTTCAAAAGTTTATAGAAATTCTATTAAAACTTTTTTTTCTGCGTTGTCCCACCTGCAATACCACCACAGCTGGCTGGAAATACAATTATGTGTGGCGATGAAGATTATTTAGGGTCCGATTCTTCGGGTAGTGAAAATAACAACGATTTATCCAATGATAGTTGTTAAGAAATTTTTTTTTTTTAATTTTACGTTATCGGCTGAATTATAGCATATTTTTTTATTTTTATTTATGGCAACATTTTATAACATAATTTATGTGTTAAAATAAAGTATTTATTTTTATTACCTAATTAACTTTGTTCATAACTAAAATTTAAAAATTCTTAAATTAATTAAAAAATGCGTAAATAATCAAAATATTATTAATTACATTCTTTGAAATCAAATTGCAGAACAAAACATTTTCGTCACCTAGCTTATAAATAGCATATAAAGCGATTTACTGTGCGTCAGACAGAATTTATGGCAGTTTTCGCTCTGCAAAAGAATTCGGAAACGGCTGAATGGGTAGATGAAAAAGAAGTTGACGCAACGGATCTGATTATAACTCAAGAGGACAATGGCCTTTTAGTTTGCGGAGAGCATTCACTACCTGTTGTTTCAATCGAAGATCACTTCAATAACCAATGGGAAGATGATGAGTCAGTGAATTTATATTATAGGTATAGAATAAAAATTTCTTAGTTTGATTAGTTTGTTTATTATTTGATGAAATATCAACTGTTCTATAATATAATTTCCTGAGATCTACTACTGTATAAATGTATAGTTTAACCAAAAAAAATCAATGGTGTTTATGCGCATTTTTAATGTTATTTTAGAAGAAGGGGGGGGGGGGGGGTGAAATACAAAAACTGACATCATATTGAGGGGGTTTGTCAAAAATTGATAGTTTGACAAAGGGGGAAGGGAGTCGAAAAATTGAGAAAAATCACTTACATCATTTATGGAAAGCCCCTCTGGATGTTTTTTTTGAATTGGCTAAGGCTTTTGATACTGTTAATCACAAGTTTCTTTTTAAATAGCTAAAGTGGTACGGATTTAATGGAAATGTTTTAACTTGGCTAAAAATGTAACTAAACAATTACATGCAATTTGTTTTTGCGGATAATAACGTATTGTCTAATTTTTTAAATATTTCATGTGGAGTTTCTTAGGAATCTAAATTAGGCCCTCTCTTATTTCTAATTTATATTAATGTTCTTCTAACTTGTTGACTATTATGTTTGGTGATGATTCCAACTTATTTCTTTTAAATAACAAAAGCGACATAAACATTGATTTATCAAAATTTCCAAATGGTTTAGATTAAAAAAACTATCATTAAACATCGATAAAACAAAATTCTTATTCATCCGTTAAAGACATATACTCCTAGTAATCTGTCTTTATAAAAAAGACAGATTACTAGAAGTATATGCTTTTTACCATTATAAATAAAGAGTTTTGAAAGATTTTAAGGTGTCTGTATTGACAAAAATCATGCATTGAAAAATCAAATTGCAAACTTATGCAGTCAAATTTCAAAGAGTATTTTGTACAAAATAAAAAATATTCTTGATAAGCATAACTTATTTAAGCTTATTTAAACTTGATAAGCATAGTTTAATTCAATTAAATTACTTCACATAAAACTATATATTTTGATTTAGATTCAAATAACAAAAACCATTAAAGGTCGTATAAAAAAAGTGATTCTGAGAAATATAAAAAAATCTACTATATTTAAGTGTTTATATAATTTCTTGGAGAGAATGAAGTTGATTTAAAAAAATAATTATAATAAATTACATATAGTTGATTCATAATGGTGGAAAAAGTGTCGCAAAATCAGCAAAATTGATGGCATTTCAAAATGCTCTAAGTCAATTTGTCTTTATCTGTTTTCAATTTAATTTTAGGATATTTTATAGACCATTTAGATACTCCATTTAAATCAGAATATTTAAAAAGTTATTGACTTTTTTTGATGAAACCATAGATTTTCAATAGTTTTGTGGGAAGTTTTGAAACGTTTAAGTCTATAAATATATATATATATATATATATATATATATATATATATATATATATATATATATATATATATATATATATATATATATATATATATATATATATATATATATATATGTTTGCATTATACAATGCGCTTTCGCACCTTGTATAAAAGGGAAAGGGCGTCATTCGAAGATTCTCGTATGGATATGCAACAGCATACCAAGGATGGATTTGAGATTTACAGAGATAAATAATTAAACATTACGTATTCAAAACATCTTGTAGCTCTGTGCAAAGGTATTGTTGTCCTTGAAATGATTTCACCAACGGAACAGGCTGCTCATTTCCATGGTTACAGAGTTGATTTCCATGGTTACAGAGCAAATAATTAAATGGAAAATGCTAGACGAAAAATTAAACTT